GTAACCAATTGACAACACTCATACTCCTGTGTTTGGTTTTTGGCACTGTACCTATTTTTAAAGTTGCTATGATGTTGAAGAAAAAGTCAAATAAAGTTTTACAAAAAAATCTCTGTGTCAGACTATACATTTATGATTTTTTAAGACATAAGAGAACATATCTGTATATATGGTTACAAATCTTAAAACACGGCAAGAATAAATATCAGTGCACACAGTGTGAAAGAGATAGGGACATCAGAAAAAATAAAGTTTGTTGTACTGTGTTTGGTGAATGTTTTATTTGCCAGTGGCAAAGAAAGAAAAAAAGGAAAATGTAAATACATATAATGGAAAATAAAGTATTCTGAATCTGAAAAGTATGTTCAAAATAAATAGAAAAGCTGGTTTAGCTATAGATTACGGATTATTCAATGTGTCTGGCTACCAAAATATTTAATATTTGTTCATGTTGTGAGATACCAAACCCTGTCCTTTTTCTCTGAGCAGGTGCCTCCTTTTCTGAACCTACCCCAATTTATTCCACATTAAGTCAACATTAATACTGATGATAACTTATTAAAACTCTCATTGGGTGTAGGCAGCGGAAGTCAATCAGATATTGTGATTTCCTCATATTTCATAATGGGATATCTCTATTGATTGAAGCATCTTTACTTTATCCTCATGCCTTGTCTTGTGTATTTCACCTGTACCAAAAACGAAATACATTTTATATTTGTTCATGTTGTGATATCCAAAACCCTGTCCTCTTACTCTGAGTGGGCGCCTCCGCGTCCCACACGGACCAAAGCTGCACGGTGAAGAAAGGCGCCCAGCAGAGGATGTAAGCGAACACGATCACCACGGTCATCTTCACCGTCTTCACCCTCGCTTTAGACAGCCCCGCCACGCTGCTGGCCCGCGAGGACAGCGGCTTCCTGACCTTCCCTGCGCCCTGCTGCGTCTTCATGTGGAAGTTAATGTACACAGTGCGGCAGATGAGCACCTGACACACGATCACCATGAGAATGGGCAGCACGAATATCACCAGAGTGGTCCACGTCACGTAGGCTCTGGGACCCCACGGTGTAATGAACTGAGCCCAGCAATCGTACACACCGGGGGCCACCTCCACCCGGGAGAAGATGAAGATCTGCGGGAGGCTACCGATGAGAGAGGCGCACCAGGCGGCGCAAACTGGACCGTTCCAGCGTGCCCTGTGCCTCTGGAAAGTCACCATGGGTTTGCAGATGGCTTGATATCTGTCTATCGTCATCACTACAATCATATAAGTAGATGCAAACATCCCGACCACCTGCAGGTACTTCACAGCGCGACACAATACGTCCGGTCCCACGAATCGGTCAGTGATGTCCCACATGAGTTGCGGGCAAACTTGGAAAAATGTGACCACGAGGTCGGCGACGCACAGGTGGAGGACGAAGACGCGCATCCTGGAGAGCTGCTTCCTCCGCTTCCACAGCACCAGCAGCAGCCCGAAGTTTAGGATCCCCGCGATGATGAAGATGATGGACAGGAGAGCTATTTCCACCCGAGCCAAGCGCTCATCCCGCGGATCATCGTCAGAGAGTGCGTCCTCCAAAGTGATGTTACTGATGTTTACAAAGAACCAAGACATGCTTAAAAGTAGCCTTTATAAACCATTACAGGGTAATCCAGATGAAGTGGGGAATTTAAATTAAAAAAATGATAAGCAGGCAGCCTGGAATATGACTTTAAATATTACATTAAAAGGGAAATTCGTTGAAAAAATCGTTATGGCCGTTTAGTGGTAAAATTACACATGTTGAGGGTCTCCAGGCAGAGAGTAAACTAGGAAAGGAGAGCAGAGGGCTTTATATCTCCTCTTCTCTGCAGGAGGGAGGAGCAACCTCTCCTCAGCACAGAAAACACTTCACACAGCATCTCACACACACTGAGTTGTATTCTGCACTGCATGCCTTAACACAACAATCACCATTTCAGTATTTTCAATAAAAAGTACAACCTATTTATAGAGCATGTTCTTTTCAGAAATGATACACATCTGCAGTTCAACTGAGGAGACAAAACCAAACTTATATATCAAATTATATTAAAAAGCTGTTTCTAGTACACATTTTTCCTCATATGCATGTTGTGATCTCTTTATATGGTGATGGAGAACAAAATAGGGCTACTTTAGAATGAAATCAGCAGCTCTGATCGTCATATTTCTTGTCGTGTCCGTTAATTCTCCAACTAAAACGTCTCAATCAATACTCTTGAAGAGCACAATTACAGCAGCCAAACCATTATGGTGCGACAGGACAAAAGCCACTTTCCTCCTCAAATCACGACTTCACGTGACTGAGGAGTTCATCTTTGTCCATCTGATAGCCGCTTTGCTTCCAGACGTCGCGGAGGTCCTGTAAGGTGGAGCCGATCTCCTTTCCCGTCGTGATGCCCATCCTCCGGAGGTCGTGCCCGTTGACGGGGAAGCGAGGGACGGACCACCCGCTGAGCTCCGCATGCAGCTTCTCCTCACCCTGATACTTCAGCAGCTCACACACTTTACTCTGGGTGTCCAGCTCTCGACTCTGAAAAGAGACATTTGAGTTAAAGGTCACCTATTATGCAAAATCCACTTTTTCATGTCTTTTCTACATCAACATGTGTCTCCTCTGTGTAAAGAGACTCTGAAGGTTTCAGGAAAAACGATTCTCTCTCTTTTGGTCCTGATCCATTTCTATAAAAACCTGTCTGAAAATGAGCTGATCAGATTTTGGCCACTTTATGATGTCATAACGATTTTTTTTGGCTTGTGTAACCATTAACCAATCACCAACCAAGGTACCACCCTCCCCCCCTCCACCTTATCACCTGAATCTCCTCCTAGAGCACCATTGTGTTCTTTCTAACCAAATCTCTCCCAGAGGGGCGTGGGGAGGGGCTCCTTATTTTCATCTAAAGGAACAGACAGAGAATCAGCGCACTTTGAAAGCAGGCACTGAAACACAGAGGGGATTTATGGGATAATGCTCAATGATCTGTTTGGTGTTTTGGAGCCAAACTTCAGAGAACATGTTCTGTATACAGGACTGTCTCAGAAAATTAGAATATGGTGATAAAGTTCTTATATCTATTCGTAATTGCAACTTAACACAAACAAAAATGTCATACATTCTGGATTCATTACAAATTCAAGCTGAAATATTGCAAGGCGCTTTTAATTATTTTATATTGGCTGATTGTGTGGGCATATCAGCTTAAGAAACTCAAATATCCTATCTCTAAATATTTAGAATTACATCCATCCACCCACCCGACATTACAGTCATTACAGCCCTCAGCGGTGTCAACCCCCCGAATCACTTTGAATCGTCTTAACTTTAACTTCAGAAACACTGCAAGGGTTCTCCTGAGCGCCTTCCGAAAACACCTCAGCTTGGTTCAGTAAACTAACTACAAGTACTGGGGAAGACTGCTGATCTGCTGCTGTCCAGAGGACCTGTCTTGACCGCTCCATCAGGAGGCGTACAGACACAAAAATATAATTTCGTCAAAGAGCAAGCTGTTCACCTAGAGTGCAGTTCAAAGCACATCACAAAAAGTCTGTTGGAAGGGGGACAATGTGGGGCAGGAAACGCTTAGCACCAAACCCCAACGCAGCGATCATGCACCCGCCACGGCTAGGCAGGCATTGGAAGACGGTTGAGGACCAACGAGTCGCTTCCAGAATTTGGGGGAGGCTTCAAAGACCAGTGGACTGACAGCTCGCGATTGCCAGGTATCATCTAAACACGTCACTCGTTTCACAGCACCGCTGCATGGGAACTGGCCGGACAATATGCCGGACCGCCTCATATTGCCCACTCACACTGCTTCGTCCGCACAGTACGTAGCATATCTGGACAGACGAGGAACTGGTCCAGTGCTGCTCTTATCCTCTAGCCCACACGTCCAGACCGGCAAGAGGCGTCTGACTTGGGCTAAGGAGAAAGAAGCACGGACATGTTGCAGCAGTGTCATAAGTCTCTTTCAGACCCACCCCCTCCGAAAGCAAGTTTCTGTATTTCCAATCTGGAAGTCAGGCGGCCAGAGTCGGAGAAAGGCTGGAGAGGAGGGCTAAAATCCAAGTTGCTTAACGCAGTGTGATCAGTTCCCACAGTCAGCGAATGGTTTTGGGGAGGCATGTCAGGCTGCTTGGTGTTGAGTTCGGCACTGTGTT